GTCTCTTTTCATAATAGGAGTAGAGTGTAATCCATTTTGTCAAAGTTTTAACACAATTTAATGAAAGTCTCCAGAGTCATAAGGACACTTTCTGGCTCCCAGTGAATTTGTTAGCTTTTAAGAAAATAGAATAAAGAAAAGGCATATAATTTATAGAAAAAAATATATATTAAAATACATATAATTAAAAGGTATAGGCTATGCCCTGAGAATGCCAAAAAGGTGTTTCACCTTATAAGCTATAGACAAAATATACAGCCTAAATGATAAACTGTAATATTAACTTGAAAAGCAGGCATCATACATATGCATCATAACAGGTCTTCGCTTTGTTAATTGGATTCCATCCTCTGGACTCTTGGGGTTCCGGATTCGTAGACCCAACTGCCTATTTTACTTCTTCACCTAGATGCCTAATTAATATACCAAACTCTACAGGTCCAAGAGAAATTTAATGTCATTCCTCAAATCTCAGTTTTCCTTATCTCTGCAAATGGTTCACAATTTACCTAGATGCTTGAACCAAAAACGTGGAATTCAATCTCTTTTTTTTGGGGGGAAACAAGTAAATGTTTTGTTTTCTTTGTGTTCTTTTTTCTTTTTATTTTTTTTCATTATTATTAGTTTCGGGTGTACAAAACAATGCAATAGTTATTCTTTTCACCCCTCACAAAGTGACAAACCTCTTACCCCCATCTTCTGTCCCCCCTCTTCGATATCATACATATCTATTACAATTCTATTGACTCCACTCCCTACACTATACTCCACATCCTGTGACTATATATGTATTAAATTATAGTTGAAATATAATATTCATTCTTGACTTTATCAATTCCTTCTCTCCCTCTCCCTGAACTAACATGTCGTTCAAAATAGATCCCAAATTAGTAGGGTTTTTTTGTTTATTTAATTTGCCTTTACCTTTTCCCAAATGCTCTGAAGAGAACAAAATCCAAATTTCTCCTCTATGGTCTACCAAACCTACGAGATCTGGCCCAAAGATGGCCCAGCTACAGCTACACTCTCCTATTCAAAGATTCAGGCTGCATCCTCTGTCGGCTTCTTCATTTTTAGTTTCTTCTGTTATGACTTCAATCCCCCAGCTTTTCCATGGCTGGATCCCACTTGTCCTATCAGTTCCTCAGCTCATAGGCCACCGTTTCAGGGAAGTCTTCCCTGACCACTCAATCTAATTAACAATGCTGCCTCCCACCACCCATCATTCTCCATCACCCCAATTTGTTTTATTTCTTTATAATACTTATCATTGTCTGCAATTACTTATTTTTATGTTTTTGCTGGTTTACTTTCTGTCTTCCCAAACTAGAGTGTCAGTTCCATGAGAAAAGGGTCTTGTTTGTCTTGTGTGCCCCTCCGTATACCCAAACCTACAATATTACTGAAATGAACGAATGAGTGACATATATGACACTAGACATATCCCTAGGTATGGCTAACTGTTGACTGCCTTAGGCGGATTTGTTGAAATAAGATATACGCTGTGGCAGGAGTTCCCCCAGAGGATCACTGATGTCTAAATTTCCACCACATTCCTCAGCTATCAATATTAAATGCAGCATTAATCTTAAGAAAATATAAAACTAGATCCAACCAGATACCGTACGATAGTATTTCAGTAATGCAGAAAACTTGGAAAATTGAAAAGTGGGGAAGAGCTGCTCTCCCAGTCTCAGGGAAAGAGAATAATTATCCCATCATTCCATGACTAAGAGAAGCCAGTACCTTGGCTTCTCTTTACAGGATAGCGCTGCTGCCAGCAGTTTGAGGCACAACCAATGTTTACACCAAAGGAACTTTTGTAACTAGAACTCTGAGAAAAGATAGGGTTGGTTGGGGGGTATATAAATGCTTTCCGCCAGGGAAAACCCAATTCTAGGGTGTTTTTATGCAACTACATATAAACGCTCAATTCAGACTGTGACTTCTCCCTGCAGATAAATCTTCTTAGGAATATATTACTTATCCTGAGATCGACAATAAATCTGGATATATTTAGAGAATATGTGGTTTCTCTTTCTTTTACTTAAGGATTTATGTTAAATAAATGTCTGTGGGGCTTCAAACCATGGCTTATGAGATATTCAATTTGAATTCCTTGAGGGTGTGGACCATGTCTCTTGTTCACTCTCCGGCCTGACCTGAATCCACTGCTGTGTGGGCTGCATGGCAGACACTAGCCCTTCCCTGCACAAGTTCATCAGAAGGAATGACTATTGGACAGCAAAAAGCAAGTTCTCCCTGAAAGGATAAAACGTCATCACAGAATGACTCTCCTTATCCTAATTTTAATGCCAAGAACTGCTTGTACTCGTTCCGCTCGAAATCAAAAGGAGATTAGGTAACACAAAGCATCTCTGCTCAGAAACATGATTGTTTTCCTTTGGGCAAAGTTTTATATTTATTTCCCTCTCGCTTCCTCAATTTGCATGTAGGTAAGTGCTGAGAGGTTCACAAACACTATCTTTCCTTCAAAGAACTTTAGCTAAGAATTAAAATATTCAATTAACTAAAAGCAATCAGAGATTCTTTTTCAGTTCTGGGTTCTTTCAAATTCTCTCATTTCGCCCAAATTGGTGCATTACAAATTCAAAGAAGTGAAAAGAATATTTCATTTCATAAAAAAATAAATAAATAAAAGGAAAACACCTTGAAAAAAGATGTGTAGCAAGTATGACAAATTATTACCTTTATTATATGAAATGATAGCTCAAATGGCTAAAATAAAACATTATATGCCAAAGAGATAAGTGAGTTAAAGACTAAGAGAAGACATTTTAAAGAGGGAAATACAGCTAGAATGCTATCCCACCTTGCCAGGAATCTTAATGAAGAAATTAAAAATATTTGTTTCTAGTCTATAAAATTATAAGTAAAATTAAATAATTTTTTCCTCATTCTTAACCCCAAGACTTTCTTTGTTATTATATATATATAAAAATGTTATTAGGAAGCTCAAGCAAATTGGGTTTCATCCACCATATTTGAAAGGGTGGGCCATGAAGATTGGCTCATTTTCCTTCTTCTCCATCCTTTAGAGACTTTTGAGGAAGACTGAGGGAGCGTTAGTTCTCCATGAAGCGCAACTGGAAGACCACTATTTTTAATGCCACCCAGTACTGAAAAAAGACTGTGCGACAGGCATACTCCCATATAGTTAAGATTCTAATTAATGTCAATGACTGTAAAACAATCTGAAAATATGCCATAAAAATCACCCAAATATCTATGTCTTTTGACTACCTTTACTTCTGAGAGCCTATATTGGCTATATTGCATGAAGATAATAATTTCAGCATTATTTAAGATGGTGAAATTTTAGAAAAAAAAAATAAAGGCATGTATTCAATCATTCAATAAATACTTACTGAGCAAATGACCTCGTAAAAGCTAATGTTCCTATTACAGGATGAGAGGAAATAGGAATGGCTGGGGGCACAGTTTAGAAAGGCCATGAAGAAGTTCATTATGTAGCACCTACTATGCCCTTTACTGAAAGTGGCTTTTACCTTACTGGAGGATATTAATTCCTTAAATTAACTTAGTCCAGATATTACATTACCAAAGAATACAATGAAAACTAGAAGAGGAACATAAATCAGGTTGTGACATTATAGTTGTTCTATTGGTACTCTTCAGGGAGGACCACAACCCTGATATCGGCAAAGTTTCTGAAGAGAATAAAGGCAAAAAAAATTAAAACGTTTTTCTGGGAATCCCTGTCTTAGCTATGGATCTAGAAAATCTGTAGTTATTTGAAGCACTCCTAACCAAACAAAAAGAATAAGAATGGCTCCTACCACAAGGAGGTGGGTCAGGAGCTAGACAGGAGGTCTCTCCCTGGCAAACTCCAAGCGAAAAATGAAGAAAAGTGTTTTGGAAATAAGGTTATCCAGTTTCATGTTCTTTTCTGTGTTTACTTCTCCTGTGTAATCCCATATGTTTAATACAGTTTTATTTAAATGCCTCCAGCCTAGTCTCAGCTGCCCTGTGGGTATAGGAAGGATTGCATGTCCTTATTTTAGCCAACCAGAGAAGCTATCCCAGCCACCATCCATGCCTTAAGCAGAAGTGATGACGGCAAGGGTCCTGAGTAAGAGATACCCTAGTCTAGGAAAGGTGTTCCTCCAAGGCCAAGGGCAGAACCGAGGGTTTCTGCTGCCCCGGCCCACACAGGGAAGCATTCCTTATCATCATTCTTCAAGGGGCTGGCGTTGCTTTGATTACAGGAAGAGTCACTTCTTGGTAGTCTCAAGAGTGTTTAGAAAATCAGACAGTTTAAAAAATAAGCATCTTGAAATATAAATAAGACCAGAAAAAGAAAAATAACTTCTGAGGGCAAAAAAAAACCCTGAGCAAACTAATAAAGACAAACTTCAGGCTGTTGCAATTCTCTCAGCCTGTTTATTTTCAGAAGGGGACAATTTATCAAAAGTATGTGGAAATGATTGCTTTAGGTGGGGAGACAAGTGTAAATCAAAACAAAATTTCTTTGTACATTTAAAGCAAAACCAAACAAAAAGATATTCTCATGTAACCACTTACGCAAAAGAAAAAAGTAGAGAAACAAGGATAAATCGGTGTCATGAGTTTTTGGAGCACAGCATTTGAAAAGATTATTTAATTCAACCTCAGAATAATTTCTTTCTGTAAACATAGCATGCATCTACTTTCATGATCGGATGGAGGCTCTGTGTGCAGAAATTTTAATCAGTCTAAACATGAAGTGGGCTGGATTACAGGTCTGTGCTTTCCTGCTACCATGTAAAGCACATCAGTACATTCCTGGATAGTTCTCCTTTTATATTCTCTGACTTGTTTTATATTCATTTTATCTTGGGGCATTGCAAACATCTTTGTAAGTCAATTAAACTATGTTCTGGAAGTAGGTGGAGTATGAACAAACAAAAAATTACTTTTTCTCTCAATACCTTTTCTTTCCGAAATGACTTTTTCTCTATGAGAATGATTACTCTTACCTTAGGTTGTTTGCAAAGGTAGCGACAAAGTTCTCCAATATATTGAAACACAGTCACATTATGCTTTTTGCAGTCATTCCAAAATTGGCTTGCTGAGAATTTCTTCTTTAACACACAAGTAGCTCCTATGAGAAAAGGCAAAAAGAGGCACTAGGGAAAAATATTCTAGGGCAGAATCAACATAAAACACACGTGATGCTGCTCTGTCCAGAACACTTTTGCTCACTTTCAAGCTTTTATAACAGTCAGTGGCCATTTATATCAAGCTCATTTGAAAACATTAATCATACAGTCCATATCTTGAGGCTGAGGGTGAATAAAGTAGTTAGTGAGAAAGCACCAACAAAAACGCTCCTTGATGACTGCAGAACCTAACTTTAACAACAGTGTAAGTCATATGAATATGTTCAAAGGAAAACGCTAATGACCTAAACTTCATCTTTACTTATTCTGGACATTGATCATATTCTAAATATGCTATTCTATAAAATGACTTTATAGTGTTTTAGACATATACATAGTAGTAAATGACCTCTATATATTATTTCAGGACTAGCTAGGAATGGACACATAGTGTCAGCATGTTTATGAGTGGAATCTACTGTGTCACAAGCTCTACCAGCAACTTATTGGGTGTCTGGGGTACACTGTTTGCAAAGATAGCCTCAGCAATTCTTATCATGCACTTACTTTTGCAATGTGAATTTGCCACTCCTCCCTTCAAGAGATGGGGTCTATTTCCCATCTTGAATCTAGATTGGCTTGTAACTTGCTCTGATCAACCAAATGCAGGTGTAAGGATCTCTGTGACTTCCAAGGATAAGCCTTAAGAGTGATGCAGCTTCCACAGTCGCTCTCTTGAAAGGCTCTTATCATCGTTTAAGGAGACAAGGGCAGACTATTAAAGGATGAGCGGCCACATGGAGAAGGAAGCCCAGGCAACAGCCAGCTCCAACCACATGGCCATCCCAGGGCACTGCTCCTTCCATTTCAGGAATACACTGAGTATGTCATGAAATTGCATCCTTTTAATAAATACTGTGTCATAATTAGGTAATGTGCACATAATCACTCTGAATTCTACTGGTAGAGTTTCAAACTTTAAAAACACGAGTTCTAATTATCAGGCATTCTGAAAACTTATCATACAGAAAATGAAAACTTACCTAACTCAACACATCCAGCAATTCCCAGGAGAGCTCCTGAGCTATGATACAGAGGAAGGGTTATATAAATAATGTCATCAGTAGTGCAACCAAAGGCCCACAGTCCAACAGAACCCTTCAAAGCCTGCAGCTGAGTAATCACAGCTGCTTTTGGGAGACCTGGAAGACAAGAAAAGAATAGATATGTAATAGAAATCAAGTCTATGCTGGTACCAACTACAACAGCACTTGAGACAAAACACTTCAAAATATGCTTTGTAAAAGGGTCCATGCAAATGTAAGCTACTACTGTAATTAATTTCCAGAAACTTAGATCTAGCCAGAAAAACTAAATCTACAAAATTACATAGAATTTGAGATCCCATAAGAGCCATATCTGCTATAAAAATGACAAAAATGACAAAAACCTGAAACCGTACACCCAAAATGAGGCAAATCACAATATAAATCTAAATTATATTTAAAGTAGAAAATTTCTAGTGAACATTCCAAGTAAGATCCTGTCTCAATTATAAGCCATTAATTTTGTTATGTTTAATATGTCCCAGAATAAGATCATTATAGAATATCAGATTCCATGATACATAGGTTGAAATTGTTCTATACATTCATAAAAACATTTTTAAAGTTTTTCCTTCCTGTCTTCTATGTACAATGGTTTTCTTATAAAAAATTATAATTGTAATTAGCATATAAAAATTTTTGCTTTTGTTACATTGCATTTTTAGCCTAAATATTTTCCATATTGTTATAGTCCTCTGTATTATATAACATCAGCATAATAAATTCATCCAGTTAGTACATAATACAATATGAAATTGCCCTGTCAGTGGTTGAATATCAGTGATTTTATGATTTAAGCTATATTTCCTTACCATGGAACACAACTTGTTTTCATAAAGATAAGTATCATCTCTTAATTAATTTGTTAGGTTAAATAGTATTTTAGCCATATTCTGCCTGTGAGTTAAAGTTCTAATATTTTTAGAGTGTCTTCATGCAGAGGGCCTCATCCCAAATCTACCGCATTAATAAAGATACTTTGATTCATAAAGTACAATGGGACAAGTATCATTAGTTGTCCCAGAGGCACGCAGAGACCAATGGCAGAGAAATCCCAGGAAACAAGCAAATAGCAGGGTCAGGTGAGGAGTTGCAGCCAGTACAGCCTTAAGAGCTGCCCTTTACCCTGTACTGAGACAGTCTTACTTACCACTTGTCAAAGGGGGTTACTAACGTCAGTGGCTCTGTAAACTTTCTGCTGCATCTGATTTGACTTTATTTCCCAATTCTAGAAACTGAGTCCTAAACTGACTATGTGTTTCCCAGACTGAAGGACTTCCATGCTGTTGTCTGCTTGTCTAAGACCAGAGTCTAAAACAAACTACTGTGCCCTGGCTCCCTGTACGGTCCTGCTACTGCTGTTCTTCCTGGATCTCCCTGCCATTGATCCTTCACCTATCGTGGCTCAACCTCCGTGATAGCGTGCTCTATCTTCTGACTGATATTTGACTCACACTTGCTGCTCTTTCTATCTCCCAATACATAGCTCACTCACACAACCAGCGCCATCTACTCCATACAAACTAAATCCCAATTTTTGCTCTTGTAGGCTTTCTCTGGTTTCATAATATAGTCTGTGGTCTATATCAACCAGAACGACTTATACATCCCACAGTCAACTGGGACGCGATCTCACATCTCACCCAGGGTAGGACATACGTTTTCTCTGGTTCAACATATTTACTGATGAAAGCCAAAGTTTTCATTGGAGTTTTGGTCACAGCAGCACACAGAGCTGTGAACCACAATCTACAGTGACTTTCACACACTCTTCTCAGAGTGAGGCTCAAGATCTTGTTGCTGTGCCTGCTTTGACATTTCCACAGGCTTTATGCGCCATGTCCACTAACTAGAAGAGGCTCAATCTCATACACAAAGTTGGCATTATCTTGCCTCTTATCCTAACTAAAATCCATTTATTCACTTTTTTTTCAAAAGAAGTCTCTGTGGCTCTTCCTGACAGCTTGGCATCTAACAACCTGAAAGAGTCTATTATCATCCACATGCATACAGAACCTCTCCAAATTTTCTTGTCAAAGCCATGTATAAAGATTTAATATATTAATATGCTTTCTAAATCTTTTTAAAGGAGAGTCCAAAATGCAATTTTAATAAGCCTTCATTTATTCTCCTTGTTCTTTCCTTCTTTAAAACTTTAAAGTCCATCAACCTTTGATCACTTCTGTTTGTTGAACAAGCTCATATCTGTTCTCCTTTATCAAAAAAACTGACTAATTCCCACCTTGATTCTTGATAATGCAATACCTTTCCTTCATCCAGAGGATCAAATATTTATGCATTTTCTTCTTCAAGAAGTTGCTATCCGTGGTTTTTAGTCACCATATTATTCCTGCACTGTTCTTGATCTCACAGCAACCCAGCTTTAGAACTAATAAGTTTTCAATTGGAGGTATGTCAAGAGAAGGATGCTTTTTCTAGTTATTTTCCATCTGAGTGCTTATGTCACTCCTTCAAAGCACATTAGTAAACTAATTACCATGTTTCTTTTCCCAATTTGGTTAGCTTTAAGTGAATAATGATCTCATTAACTTACTATAAACTATCCAAGATACTCAGATTTTTTGATAAAGGAGACAACAGATATGAGCTTGTCCAACAAACAAAAGTGATCAAAGGTTGATGGACTTGAAAGTTTGAAAGAAGGAAAGAACCGGTTCCATCCTGTAATGGTTAGCACTCTGGACTCTGAAAGAAGGAAAGAACCAGGAGAATGAACTAAGTTTGTTAAAATTGCATTTTAGGGTTCCCTTCTAAAAGATTTAGAAAGCATATTAATATATTAAAGCCTTTGAAAAGCCCAGCAGTAGAGAAACCCTGGCATTTTTGTTAATGGTGTTTCTCAAATGTATGTGGTCATAAAGCCCTTTTGCAATTTTTATTTCATTTCTTTGAAGGCATGAAGGAATATGGTGTGGAACATGCTTTGAGAAATGCCACCTTAACTGGTCTCTAAAATCTTTTGCTCGTCTAACCTTCTATGAATTCTTGGCATCGGAACTCTTCAAATGTTCCCAGACTTACACAGATAGTTGGGATGTGATCAAAGCATGAAGGTGGGAGTGAGGCTGTGTCCAGTGAATTGGGAATTAGGAGGAAGACGGAGGAAGAAATGATAGAAACAGAAAACCAATTCAGATCTGGGATATATCATCTGGGGAATTCTGGGGTAATTTTGAAAAAAGAGAAAGAATCCACAAGATTAAGGAGAAGGAGAGACAAAAGGAAACAGAGATTTAGATGATGACAGCAACTGGCTCCCAGGTGGCTCAGTGGATAGAGTGTGTGCTCTTAATAACAAGGCTGCTCGTTCGACTCCTGCATGGGATGGTGGCTGCATCCACCCGCAACTAAGATTAACACAGCACCTTGACCTTAGAGGCCACGAGCTGCCGACGGGCAGCCAGGTGGCGACTGGCGCCCTCCACAATGAAGACTGAAGAACAACAACTTGGCTGATCCCCTTCCCCAATTCCCCAACACTGTTTCCCTTCTCCAATTCCCCAATAAAAATCTTTAAAAAAAAAAATTGATAAAATTTTCCCTGTATAATAAGATCATTCACAAACCTTTTTTGGAGGAATGTCAATAAATGCTTTTGATATTTGTTTTAAAATGCAAAAATATAAAACAAAACAAAATTACAGCCCAGTCTGCTTCCTCCACACTGGCAAGAGATCTGAGATTTATTCTCTGGAAAAGATGACTCTGGAATCACCAGGAACAAGAGAGATTGAACAAACAGGGGGAGTAAGAGAAAGTCTGTCTACTCCTCCAGTTCCCTTCTAACACTTGGCTCCTTTTACCCCTCAAGATTCTTGTCTGAGGAAATGGAATAGCCCACAAGTAAAAACTGAAAGACTCTCACAGTCATGAATCCTCCCTTGATGTGTCCTGGACAATGAGGCCAAGCAGATCTCAAGGCCCACTCTGGTACACAGAACTTCTGGTCAGGACTTGGTTTGCTGTGTGTGTGCGTATGTGAGTGTGTGTGTGTGTGTGTGTGTGTGTGTGTGTTCTGGTGTCTGCACTTTAAATATTAACTTCTAGCCAAAGGTCACCAGATAATTGAGGAAATTCTCTAGGATAAAGGCTAGAGACCAATACAAACCAAAAACAAAAGGACGTTGAAGAAAATAAAGACAAGATAGAGAGGAGAAATTTTCAGAAAACGATTACTATTAATATTCTGAGAGATACAAGACTATAAAGTATCAATAATACAAAATAACATGCTACAAAAGGGGGAATATTCAGAGAATTACAAGGGCTAGAAGATAAATCTCTCAAAAAGTAAATCAAAAGGTAAGAGGAGGAAAATGGGATAGAAAAAATTAGAAAATTAACAACTCACTTCAGGAGGGCTACTTGTCAAAAAGTTAGAGTTACAAAGATAAAAGAATAAACAAAGAAGCAAGTGTAATAGAAAAGAGGGAATGGTGAGAAAGAATAGAAATCAAAAAGGAAAGAGAAAGGAATGTAAAATTAAAAAAAGTTTTTTCAAGTATCTGGAAATTGTAAGACATGAGTTTCTAGACTAATAAGTTCTACATGGTCAGTCGAGTAGCTCAGTTGGTTAAGAGTTAGCTTAAGAGTGTGAGCGCTGAGCTACAGGGCTGCCGGTTTGATTCCCACATGAGCCAGTGAAGCTGTGACTGAGCTGAGCTGCCACTGAGATGCCAACAGGTAGTAGGATGGCTCAGCTTGGCGAGAGCATGTGCTGCTAACAACAAGACTGCTTGTTCGATGGTGGGCTATACCTGCCCGCAACTAAGACTGAACTTGGCACCTTGAGCTGAGCTGCCTCCTGGATGGCTCAGTGGATAAAGCGTGTGCTCTTAACAATAAAACTGCTGGTTTGACTCCCGCGTGGGATGGTGGCTACGCCTACCCGCAACTAAGGTTGTAACACAGCACCTTGAGCTTAGAGGTCACGAGCTGCCGACGGGAAGCCAGATGGTGACTGGCACCCTCCACAACTAAGACTGAAGAACAACAACTTGGCTGGTCCCCCTTCCCAATTTCCCAACACTGCTCCCCTCCCAAAATTCCCCAATTAAAAAATCCCCCCAAAAAAACAGTCCTACAAATTTCACAGCAAAATGGATGAATAAGACCAGTCCCAGCTGGGCCGGCCAAGTGGTGTGTTGGTTAAGAGTTGGCTTGGAACACCAGCTCTGAGCAGCAGGGCTCCGGTTTGGATCCCACATGAGGGCCAGTGACGCTGCGCCCTCTACAGCTAAGATGGTGAATAACAATTTGACCTGGAGCTGGGCTGCCGTGAGTCACCAGTGATGGCGTAGGCTGCAGTGGGGCTGGCCGGCAGTGGGCGTGAGCTTTCGTGAGCTGCCGTCCAATGGCCAGCGAATGACTGCCTCACCCGGGAAGAGCGCCATGATAATACCAACATGGGCCAGTGAAGCGACGTCCTCCACAACTAGACTAGAGAACAAAAGGACAGCAACTTGTCTATTCCCCTTCCCCGATTCCCCAATGCTGCACCCCTCCCCCAAGTCCCCAATGAAAATCTTAAAAAAAAAAAAGACCAGTCCTGGTACAAGCCATCATGATGTTATGGACTACTGAAAACTCATAAAAGATTCTAAAAATCCCCAAAAGAAGGAAAGAAAAACAGCGCCAGTTTGCATAGAATAAGAAATCAGAAAGAAAAAGAATTCTCAATATATATACTGAAAATCAGAAAATAATAGAGCACTGTCTTCAAACCCCTGCACAAAAATCATTTCTAACTTATAGTTCTATACAAATAAGTGTAATGATAGAAAAAAAGGCATTTCAGACATGTGAGGACTTCAACTTACCCCCTAAATACTCTTTATCAGACAGCTACTGAAAGCAGGGTAATGGTAAAAAGAAAAGCAAACCAAGGAAACACACTTAGGATCTAGGAATTAGGGGATCATAAAAAGGAAGAGTTGAAGGGAATTCCCAGGAAGATGGTGAAGAATGATCCCAAGAGAGCAAGTGGTCAAGAATAAAATGGAAAGAATGTGCTGGGACAGAGGTGGCTAAAAACATGGGCTTGACAAAGCAGAGACCATCTTTTCAATATCAAAGGTGAGTTAGCTACATTTTTGACAAAGGGATGAATATGAGCCAGTTATCGGTATATAGAAAACTAAGCAAGCAAACACAAACCAAACGAAACCAATGATTAATTCCAGGTTGGAAGGAGTTTTATGGGAAAAGAAATAAATGTACTTTTGTTATGCTATAGAGCTCAGTTAGAAGTAGTGTTTACTAAGTTACAATGCTAACCAACCGAGCCAAAATTTACGATGAAACAATATTAGTGTGATGTTGGGGAGAAAAACTGTCTGAACGAAAGAGAAAGAAATGAGTGGAGGGAGAGAGTGGTGATGAAAGAAGACAGAAGCCTCATCTTCCATTGTGGAAAAACAGTAGATAGTTATTAGTATGTATCTAATAAGTATCTATTGGGTTGTTGGAAAAGTCATGATGTATTTTGTCTGTTTTTCAAAGGTCATTTATTTATATAAAGAACCAAGATCAAACAATGATATATTGCCCGTTTTGTTTGATAACCTTTTGCCATCTTTCAGTGAGCTTCATAATTCCTTGTTCATAGAAGGACCTGTCTTTATTTGAGAAAAACTGAACAAGGTGCTGATTTCCAACCTCATCTGAATTGAACGTTATACCATGCAAGGAGTCTTGAACAGAGAAAAACAAGTGGAAGTCTGACAGCGCCAAGTCAGGCAAGTATGGTGGGTGTGGCAACACATCCCATTCAAGCTCCAGTAATTTTTGACAGGTGATCAAACTTGTGTGTGGTCTTGCATTGTCGTGATGGAACACAACTCCTTTACAATTAACAAACTCTGGACGTTTCTGGATGATGGATTCGTTCAAACTGTCCAATTGCTGACAATACACATTCGAATTGATTGTTTGGTTCCTTGGTAGGAGCTCGAAAAACATGACACCTTTAAAATCCCACCACACTGAGAGCATAACCTTCCTCTGATGAATGTCTGCTTTCGATGTCATTTGAGGCGAATCATCATGTCAGGACTAAGACCGTTTGCACACCACATTGTTGTAAACAATTTACTTCTTATCACCAGTTATCAGTGCTTCAAAAAAGGATCGTTTTCCTCATGTTTAATGAGCATATTGCAGATGTCTATATACGCCATCAAATGAACTTCTTTGAGTTCATGCGAAACCCAAATATCGAGCTTGCTTTCGTATCCTAGCTTCTTCACATGGTCATGAATGCTTGAATGATGGACGTTCAATGTTTCTGCAATCTCTCATGTTGTGTAACGTGGGTTTGACCTGATTAATGCCTTTATTTTGTCATCATCAACCTCGGTGGGGCTCCCTGACCGAGGAGCATGGTTGAGATCAAAATCACCAGCACGGAATCTTGTGAACCATCACTGGCAGTGACGTTCTTCTAGAGCTTGGTCACCATAAACTTTATGCAACTTTTCACAAGCTTAACGTGTGTTCTTCCCTTTGTGGAAGTTAAACAGTAAAATATGGCAAAAATGCACAGCTTGGTCTTCAGTCTTTAACCTGTAGTAAAATCTCCAAAATTCAACCAAATCGCTTAATTTGTTTTTTAGACTGAAGCTAGAACTGTCAGCTGTCAAATGACATAGCAATAACATAGATACGAATGACTCTAGTACTTCCAAAAATGAACGAGTGCCATCTGTTGCAAACATGTCATGACTTTTCCGACAACCCAATATAAGATACTGATTCCATTTAGACATATGGGGATAATTATAAAAAGAAAGATCTAAAATTACTAAATGTAGTTGGTTTTGGAAAGGGGACGTGGGGGGCAGGGGGAGCAGGGTGTTTTTCTCTAAAATTAGAATTTTTCATCTCTGTGCCATATAGCTTTAATCTAAGTAAGTGTGAAAAAAAAATAGTAATGCTTTTGCTTTCATTCGGCTGTGCAAATGTATAAAACACTCTGGTTTTAATCTTGGAGAACAAAAGCTGATAACAGTCTGCTCCAGTCTCTTGTTCTCTGCGGGGTGGGGGGCAGGGGCAGTGGTGAAGATTGAGTTGAAGACCAGAGTCACTTCCTATTTTTCACAGGAAAACAGCCATAAAGACAAGCTGGTTAAGTGCTTTCTGTTGGAAGTTTTCAAAGCTTATCATTTTAAAAATTTTATTTGTTGCTTTCAAAGTCCATAGTCTGACTGAATTTATGCTGACAACTTGATACATATTAGCATTTTCCTGTTTATTTATCAAAGTTGTTCTAAACACAGTAAAAATATAGTCTACTCTCTAGTCTAAAAGAGAGCATTGTTAGACTCCAAATAGCAAAAAAAAAAAAAAAGGAACAAAAGGAGAGAAAAAGAAAAAAAGTAAGACAACTATACTTATAGAATAGTTTTGCTTACAATACTACCTGTACACAAGGAATTAGTATCAGCATATTTTTAATATGTCCAATTCAAACTGCAAGTTATCTTCAAACTAGTTAAAAAAGCTTATTTAGCTTATCATAAATGCCATTCATTTTTTCCTAAGACTCGATTAAGTTTAACATTTCTTTTGAATTCTTAGGCAGTTTCATTATTTGTGTGTGTGTGTGCATGTGTGCGTGTGTTATCATTTACTTAAAAAAAGGAAAGTTTAGTTACTAGATTCTATTTTGCATTTTCTCCCAAACCCACAATGCCTTCAAGACTTCCTGTTTGTCACCTGTTCTAGTCATCCAAAGGACAACTAGGAGAGCAGTGACAGGTGCTTAAATTACAGCTATAATTGGATTGCGTTTAGGACTTACCATTTTACACAAGAATATAGAAAACTGTTTCAAAGTAGACTAATGAATTTTTTTAATCCAGCAGGATGATTAGAAACTATTTAAACCTATCTCTTCATTTTATAAATCAGGAATCTAAGGAACAGAGAAACTAGCAAAGACTTTGCCAAGGAAGCTGGTGGAATTTCATGCTTAAGCACTAGGGCTGGGTCAAGGTCGCTAGACATCCCCGTGCTGCTGGTCCCACCAAACTTGGAGACCACAGCTGTGTGAACACGGTGACTTGCAGAGTTAAAGTTAAACCCAGTTAAAGTCCAGGCCACTACTCATGGCAGCGAGTTGTCTGACTCTCTTGCTTTCCAAGTCTTAAGAGGAAGTGAATCATACCTGTTGTTCCAGAGGTAAAAATATAAAGAAAAGGAGACTTGAAGTTTGTGGTAACATGGTGGATGCGCGGCACCGGCTTGTCAGATACTGTGCTCAGTTTTTCTTTGAGTGAAATTACGCCTCCTGGGACAGAATCTTTCATCCCCCAAACGCTGATATCTTCTGGGAGGCTGGGAAGGATTTCTTCCAGAGTTTCGAGCAAATCTAAAAACCAGAGGGTTAGGAATAAGTAAACAAAATAAATCATTCACCCTGTATTTTCTTTTGCATGTTGCAACAGGGATAAAATGTAAATACAATGCTGATTTCCTTTTTATGTTGGATAAGTACTATCAAAGCCATTTTATGATTCTGTTTCAACAGGACCAAATGAAAGGGAAATCTGATTATCACCTGATTTAACCAATGCAAATAGGCCAGTTCAAATTGAATTTGGAGACTCCATTATCCAGACTATGGTTTTTTTTCTCAAATTTTAAGTAAAACTATTGTATTTCTATACTTTGCTTTAAATCTAAATTCAGGATACTGCACTAAACACTGTCCTTGAAATACAACTCAGCAGCTCATTATTCCAAAAAGCCTTCCGTCTGTCACTGTTTAGTTCTACTTTAATGCAATACGTTCAGGAGAGTCCCTGACCACTCAGGAATCACAAGGTCATTATGTCTTAGAGATCATTTCAGTGAAATGAGGAGATTGAGAGAGGCTCCTGGTCTTTTGGAGTTAATGCAAGAAACGCCAAATACTGCCAGCAACCACCAGAAGCTAGGAAGAGGAGAGGAAAGATTCTTTCTTAGATTTTTAAGAGAGGCACATAGCCCTACGGACACTTTTATTTTGGACTTTTAGCCCCCAGAACTGTGAGGGGATAAATTTTAGTTGTTTTAAGCGACCTCATTTGTGGTACTTTATTACAGCAGCCCGAGGAGACTAATACAGCAAGGTCACAAGTTGGTGGACAGTAAAATTGGTTTTAGTCTACCGAAGTCTAACTGTGAAATTTAGACATTACCTCATACAAGAAATCAATGATAAAAAAATGTTATTAAATGTAAAATACACCCTGGTAAGAGTGCTCAAGTACATGTAAACATGGACCTTTCCATCTAAACAATTATATATATATATATATATATTTTTTTTTCTAATTATTTAACAAAACTTTAGGGGGGGGGGTTTGTTGTTGTTGTTTTTTAGCTGAGCCATCCTGCTACCTGTTGGCAGCTCAGGGGCTGCTCAGCTCGGGCTGGACTCGAACCACTGTTGCTCAGAGCTCAAACTCTTGAGCGAGCTCTTAACCAACTGAGCCACTCGGCCGGCCCTATTTAACAAAACTTTAAAAATAACCACAAGATGTATGTACTCTGCTTTGAAACTGTCTCCAGGCTGCTGCATCAAACATTTTCCTGGAAACGTGAAACAGTGTCTGGCTGTCTCAAAAAGCCATCTGTTAGCCACTGTTTAGTTCTACTAGAAAACAAAATGTTTGAGAAAAACTCATGATTTACTTCCTCAAAATCTATAATCCAAATTGATCACAAAGAAGCAGTAAGAGAAATAAGTCAAACGGGACTAGGCAATTCACAAATAAAACATGAAAATGAAGAAAACAGAAAATGATAAGGAGTTGATATGTCGGAGGTGGTAGGCAGATTGGGACTTGAAATGTTTTGAATTTATTTTTATTTCCATAACAAATCCAAATGATGCAAATAGGGAGAGTCCAGAGGAAGTATCTAGTTCTACTGAGCACACATGGCAAGCTGCTGTATACAGATTGCTTTGGTAAAAAAGAGAAGAGAAAAATCACAAGGAATGCGGGGGGAAGGACAAGTCATAAATAAATGAAAAAGCAAGAGAAGCAAATGATCTAGACTGTCTATTTTCTTTTAACTTTTTGTACTAGATTTTGTTTCAATGACTCTATCTGGCACTTTGCACGTATAAGTACAAGTCTCTGAGCTGACTGATTTCATTACCTTAATTTCAAATCTCTCATCTGGAACTGTAAATTAACACCATAAACTTTTATACATTCTTAATGATATGTATGACTAAATTGGCAAAAATAAGTACAAAGAAAGTTACAATGTGATTAATTGTGGCCCCAAATCTTTGCTGGAATTGTGGCTTCTAAAGGAACAGTGAATATTTACAGAGTGATGACTTTCACAAGGAAAAAAAAAGTGAGCAGATTCCTAAGAAACAGAGGAGACACAATTTAATTTTAAATTGAGTTGGTTGAGATGTTTAGAATTTTCCAGTAGAATTTTATCTAACAAAATTATTTATTCAATAGTGGTAGAAAATGTGGTTGAGGATAGTGAAAATTGAAATTTAAAAAGTAAAAAATTATGTAGGGGATAAAGAATCATTTACTTAACACTATCAATCTTTCTTAATAAGATGAAAAGTTTTACTGTCATTTTGAAAGTAAATTCTGAATACTAATTCCTAACACAAACTAGCATTTGTTTAAATACTTCAGGGAAACCTGGCTGTGTTTCAGGAAGGTTTACTCATTAGTGACGTGTACTGCCATTGAAATCTGTAGAACTGTAAGTGCATCAAAAGAGCAATGTGTGTCCTACTCCATCCTCGGCTGACTGCGCCTGGCACACACACCGTAGGGGCTGGACAGATACCTGGTTATGGAAGCGAGCGCTGCCCATGGGATCCACAGTAGCTGTGGGTCTTGATAGTAAAGTACCATAAAGAAACGAGACAGCTGAACATTCTATGACCTTTAACAGAGTGTACACTACAGGAGAAGACTCAATCTCTCTTTTCAAAGCAACAGGTTTTTCCAAGAAATACTTATTGTTTCTTGCGTATGCAAGCCACTGCATTAGGTGGGTTTGCAAGCACAAAAACAGGTAAATTATGCTCCTTCCTTACAATCCTTTAGCACTTTTGTACAAATTAATTTCTTGTTCCTGCATCATTATAGTATCTCGTATTCAAATTTCTGAGACTATAAAATTAGTGAGTAAAAATTTAATATATCTCTCTAATATGCCATTAATGCGAATTATGTTATTCATACTGCATTAAAAACTCTTTAAAATATCCTACTCTACATAAAACCAGCTAATATTTTCAAAGGTATTGCTTGTAGCTCTTAATACATTGGCAAACATTTAAACTTTTATGCATTAGTAAAACTAATATGATGCTCAACTACAAGTGGTCAATTTGAGTTTTCCTTACTGCAAAGCAATATTCACACAGAATCCAAAGTCAAATAAAAGATAGATCTCACCATGTACCTGTAACTACCTTTCTACTACTTAGAGCTGCTCCATAAGTCTTTCATCGGATGCATGGGCAGGCTATGGTTTCTAAGAAAACTGATGCATAAGTAAGAAAAGTCCTAAAGCAATTCATATCGTGATGTAGATACTAATACTTAATATTAGGCCAGAAACTCATTTCATCATGAATAATGTCAGCTATTTTTTACAAATATTAGCTTATTAACTATCATCATAACCCTAGGAACTGCATAGGAGTACTACTAGTCTTTCAATTGTGATTGCATTTTCTTCCTTGAAACAATCTTGCTAACTGCCCTGAACACATGCACACAAGTTTATAAGTGGGTTTATGTGTTTTCACTCTCAGCTGTCCCCACATCTTTTGGGGAATAGACAGGCAAAAGTGTGCAAAAAATAAAAAGTATAACAGTTTATTTGACGTTATTTCCAACACATCTCCTATTGCCAATGAATAATTATTACTCAAATGGGACCACAATGGCAGGATGTACCTGGTTTATTATTTTTCAGTAAGTAAATTATATATTTTTTAAAAGGAAATTCCAAGGTGGCATTTCTGTAAGATTCAGACTCCATCAGAGCTATTATCTGCCACATGCGTTCTTGGTTATAAATAGTCCCCTTGGCCAGAGAAGAGCTAACCACTAGCTCCTGACTTGTGCCTGACAGCATTCCAGCCCTGGCCTTTGGGGGTTGGAAAGCAGATACACGTATGACTGTACTGCCACTGGGGGAGGTCAGGGCAGCTGCTTAAAACCAGTTCTCTCAGGTCACCTGACATGTGCCTGGCTGTCCCTCCATACAGCCCTCTGTCCACAGCAAATCCCACACAAAGAGACTCAGGCAAAGACTGACATGACACTTTGCATATATGTCTCTGTCACCATGCAATTAAAAATAATTATGGCGACCATTTATTGAATACACACTGTGGTCTAGGCACTCTATTGTGTCCTTTATGTTTAAGTCACAGAAAACCCAATGACATTCACTGCTATGTGTTAGCTATGTGTTAGCAGTCTCAGTTAACGGCACGGTTAGGATTCAAGCCCATGTTCACCTGACTCCAAGATGGGCATTTCTCCCATTCAGCCCCATTCTGAGGGGGCAAAGCCTCCCTTTAAATTGTTTTTGCTCCTGCCAGTATTCAAGCATCATTCTCTGACAGTAAACACATGTTCAGCAAATACTGAAAGTAAGAACCCCTGGGTCAGTGACCCCATGATCAGTAAAGAATAAGCCATGCATCATCAGTGCTTAGAACGCTGCCTTTTCCAGCTAATAAACCAAGAAGCCACTTACACTTCCTATCAAAATCAGTTTTCTTTTGGAATGGAGGTAATCCTTGACCTAGCTGAGTCTAAAATGAAAAAAAAAAAAACAAAAAGGCAAAACAACTATCCATGCTACTAATATAAGTAAAAATATAGAAATTCCCTAAAAATTACAATAGATATGTCAGGGTATCATAGTACATGGGTAAAATAATAAAATTCACATGAGCCATGTATCTTATCTATCTGAATACATATTGTTTTCTATAAAACGTAAAGCGTCTTTATTATTCCTCTAACTCTTCCTCTTGGTCTTTAAAAAGCAGATGCCTGCCTGGCTGAAAGTCATTTGGGGAATTACAATGGCTTGTTTGTTAACTGGAACATTTGCCCTGCACAGTGTGAATGAACAGTTCATGAAACCTAACAGGGCAAGGCTGCCTGCATTATTGTAATTTTATTGAGCTGACACAGAACTTTTACTTCTTGTGAACAGAAATCCAAAACTCTTCTACATATGTTGAGACACAAAATATTATTGAATCTAAAGTAAAAGTGTTCAGGGTAATATGAACGTAATCTTTTTTAGTTATAGATGTATAATTATAATGATTTAATGTATAGTATATTGACAAAGGAGAGAAAGAAAAATATGTACATGCAAGTAGATCTGAAATTCTGTGGATGCTCAGTGGGTCTAAAACATTGTACTAGGGTGTCCTGATTCTCGCACTTAGCAACATTGGTATAAAATAACATAACAAAGAAATTCCATTGATATATCTACTCTCAAAATCAGTTACCAAATGAACAGCAGAGGGATAATTTATTAGCAAAACTTTGTAAGTAAAGTCACCGAATGCTTATAGGTACCTCATAGTTTTTTGTTAGGTCATTCATTCATCCAGGCAATATGTATTGAGCATCTCCTTTGTGCTAAACTCTCAGAATTTATCAGTGAACTAAACAAACTTCCTCAGCTCAAAGCACTTACATCTGAGTTCTTGGCCTATTCCTCAAAGCCACACAAATATCTGTCTGTGAATTGGCTAATAAAACTTTACCATTGGGCTGGCAGAGTGGCGCATTGGCAAAGAGCTGGCTTGGGACGCCAGAGGGCCCTGGTTCAGATCCCACATTTGAGGCCAGTGACACTGCCCTCTACAGCTAAGATGCTGAACAACAGCTCAACCTGGAGCTGGGCTGCCATGAGTTGCCGGTGACAGCGTAGGCTGCAGCCCCTGCTGCAGTGGGTTGCCATGGGCTACCATGTGTAGCCAGCAGCCAGCGTGAGTGGCCATCCAGAAGCCGGCGACTGATCTGCCTCGCCTGGGAAGAGCGCAATGATGGTGCCAACTTGGGCCAGTGAAGCAACGTCTTCCACAATTAGACTGAAGAACAAAAGGACAGCAACTTGTCTGTTCCGCTTCCTCCAATTCCCCAGTGTTGTTCCCCTCCCCCAATTCCCCAATAAAATCTTTTAAAAAAAACAACAGCAAACTTTACCATTACCCTGGGGTGCTGTGAAGAGCCATAGCACACCTGAGGCAGGTTGTCTTAGTATAAAAGATGCTGAAAGAGAGTAGATGGACAGATGGAAGGTGAGACTGAGGGAAGGAATAGGAGGAGGTGAGCAGGTTAAGAAGGAAAGGGGAGGGGAAAGTAAAAGATGGAATGAGGGAATGAACAGGAACAGAAAGGAGGACAAAGACACATGTGCACCCAATAAGCTTTTATGACTTCACATCAGAAAATGTGGGCTATTTTCTGTCTCTCCTAGATGTATGAGCCAGAGGAGAGTCCGTGCCCACTTTAACCATGCTGCCCTCAGCTTTTGTTTGTTTGTTTGGTTTGGTTTTAGCTGAGCCATCCTGCCACCTGTTGGCAGCTCAGCTCGGGCTGGGACTCGAACCGCTGTTGCTCAGAGCTCACATTCTTGAGTGAGTGCTTAACCAACTGAGCCACTCGGTCAGTCCTGCCCTCAGCTTTTAAACGAGGCTACGGCTGTGATGAGGATCACGTAAGATCACATGTATAAAACACTTTGCAGTGTATACAGTACTTTAAAAATGGAAGTCATTGTTATTATTATGGCTCAGTATGTCAAAGGATATAATTACAGAGACTTTTAAAAATGATATACAAGCATCACAACAGTTTCTGTTTGTTCTAAGTAAAGAGAAAATAATACACAGGTAGACAACAATCTTGGCAGCAGGCACTGTTAGCAATATCAGAGTTGAAATATCGGGGGGAAAGAAGTAGGTTTAAGTTAAGACTATTTAATTTTCAGTAAGTGCTGAAATTTTCCAGGGAAATTTTGGATGCCACTCAACATACCTTCTAAACTAAACTACACAGATACAAAACTTCTTTGCAAGTATTTTTTGAGTCTTTAGACTATGAGAGAAAGGAATACTAACTGTATGAACATTTTAACTTTTTCTAGTTATCTGTGTATTAAAAGCCTGATGTCTTAATATTGGCAACTTTTACTTTACTATTTTTATATAAGTGGAAAGCATATTTTTTCAGTTATGTCATAAGGGGATTGATTGACAGTCTCAGAAACAATTGGACTGTATATAGTCTTACACCAGAGACCAGGTTTTGAATCTTTGCTCTGAAACCTACTAGGTTGTGCCACCTTTGACAACCTAGGTGAATTTCTTTCCCTCTCAGTCTTCAAAACATAGCTCTGCATCTGCCTCTCAGAATCACTGACAGTGCCTTTTACATAGTCAGCCTTGAGTAAATGGCAACTGTTAATATTCTTGTTAATGAGAATAACAAAATAATAACATTTGCTGGTGGCTCAGCTGGTAACTTTTCCTTTGGCTTGTTCCTGGAGACACTTACCAGACATCTGCCATGATTAAAACTTCACCTGTCACCATGGACATTATCTGGCCTGTCTGTTAAACCTTCTGGAAACTGGTTCTATATAACTTCTGAAAAATAAAATTTTGCTAAAACTAATGCCAAAGTAAAGTGTTCAAAATCCTATTCCAAACAAAAGTCCTTACTAGTCTTTCTTATACCTAATACCAAATTAAGCTGTAGCAGCAAAATCCCTTATTAAATGAGATCCCTTATTAAAGGGGTCTGGGATGACTCTATTATATTAATAATAGCAATTATTTCAGGATCTAGTTAGTACATACTAGTGGCTTCTGTAAAGCCACTTTACAAAAGCTATGCCACTTAATTTTCAGAGTTACACTGTGAAGTAGATGGTATTAGCACTATTTTACAACTAAGTAAAGTGAGCCCAGGGCAACTGATCTTATCTTCACCACACAGTTAAGAAATGGCAGACTGTAAATGAAACCCAGGTCTATCTGGCTTATCTCTCTAAACCACTTGACTAGTCTTTCCACCTTCATCTACTCACCCTGGGATATAATAATTTAACTGTACACCTACATCAGAAACATCCGATGAGAATCTAATACCTCTGAAATTTAAAGTTCTAAAACTATAGGTATATATTGTTCACTGATTAGACTCGAGATGCCAAGAATACAGTAAAAGCATTTCAGGTAAGAGGCTCAAACACAGAAAATGACTTCGATGTGAGCTATATCTTCTTTAAATACTAAGCTAGTAATTAATCAAAATAGAATTGTCCCATCTTTGAAAAACATATAATTTCTACACTTTGGAGGGATGCTAAAAAGAACCATTAGTAAGATTGAAGGTTGATTTCACGAGCTATCTACTTACTGAGCAAATTGACTAAATGGTTTTGGCTTAAAACTCCAGCATCCCAAAGTGGCCTTTATATATAAAAAATGACTGTTATTGTTAAAAACAAGGAAACAATGAAATTACTCATTGGCAAGCAATGGAAAAGCAGGCACAAGTAAAGCTGCAAAATTAATTGGTTCTAATTAAGCAACAACTCAGTCGACAGCAAAATTTGAATACTCTATTTTGAGAGGTAACCCGCCCTGTGCATGTTAAGAGGCCCTCAGGAGACTGGCTATGAATGGCTCTCAGGTTGGCCTCAACATCAGGGCCACAGACATCTTTTCAGGGATACTGTGGCCCTTTCAGTTTGCTTTTCTAAAGGGAATTTATGGCTTCATCAATTTTTAGCACAATTTGAGTTTTAGATTTGCTCCCAAACCTGTAAACTAAATTAAAATGAGCAGTAATATGGGAAGTGGAATAAAATGTCAGAGTATATACAGAGATGAACTGTGATATGTTTTCCCACTGCAGTCACATGATCACTTGCCCTTGCACAAGTGGTAAACATTGTTTCACCATGTTATCCAAATTCTGTGTGCTTCATTTATCCTACCTATGGCTATAGTTCAGAGAATAACTATCATTTTTCACACTTCAATTTTGCTTTGTTATTGCAACCCATCCTCCTAGGTACTTTGTTAATTAGGCCCTGAACTAAAGACTTTTCCTTATAGTTCAGTGTTAATATGTGTAGCCAAAGCCTAACTCCAAGGGTGGGGGTTGAGGGCAGAAGGTTAGAATTTGCTGAAGGAAAGAAATGGGCACAGATCGGGGCAGGGAAGAGAGAGAAAGAAGCCTATAGGATCTGCCAAGAACCTGCCCACCAGGTGGTATGTGGGAGTCCAACCTTGCTAGGCAAATCCTAGCTTGCAGGAGGTGCAAAATAAGAGCAGACATGAAGATAGGAATTCATGTACTTCAGATGAAACACACCAGGGGTGCCAAAAATATGTATATACATGACTTTAGTCATCTTTTGTTATTGGTACATATTGAGTATCACAATTTTAATACAGTTTTTTCCTTTCTTAAAATATGTATACATTTTATTGTGGCACCCTCTGTATTCTGCAAATGTAGTCAAACTTGATAGTGTTACTATTAGAGGCAGGTAGATATTCTGCAATGAAAACAACATAACTTTCCTACTCATCAAATAATTTTGCCAGATCTGATAAAATTTAGAAACGACAGAGTTCTACCTCTGTGTTCTTGCACTCCGTGAAGTTGTTAACAGTAAAATTGCCCCTTCCCAAAATAGTTAGTAGATGAGATTTCATAAAAATTTTCTGAAGCTGTCTTGATATTTACTAATCTGCAACAGAGTGAATGACGTGGGTGAGAGGTTATTAAAACGCCAGTCACAGAACTGTAAAATGATAGAATTGTAAAACTATTTGTAACATGCACCCTTCATCACACATCCAAAATATTAGTTCTACACTGTTCCAACAAAAAAGGGGGTGGGGAAAAGGCAGGGCTGACATTGTGCAGAAGCAGACCACACCCCATACTCTACCTGCGCCCACCACTACAGCCCTAGGCTCACAGCTGCGGATGCAATGCAGGAGCGAGTTGGCGCGGATGTTGGAGTTGAGGAAGGCCACCACGCAGCCCAGCTTGGCCAGGCCGAACCACACGTGGACGAAGTCGGGCTCGTTGGTCATCAGCAGGGCCACGGTGTCCCCCCTTTTCAGCGTGGAATGGTTCAGGAAGACATGGGCCACTCTGCTGCTCCTTTTGTCCACATCTTCATAGGTGTAGATGTCTCCCTCGTAGATGATGAAAGGTTTCTGAGGCTGCTTCTTGGCATGGCTCAGGAATTTATCCAGAACAGTGACCAGTTCCCCTTTCCGACTGGACGTCTTTATCCGCATTCCACATTGTACCACCTTCATAAGGTACCAGAAGTCGTCCCAGAAGTAAGGGAACAGGAGTTTCTGCAGGAAGTGCAGTAGGACCATTCCAGCCCCGAGTCCTGTTAGCCATGACAACAGCATGGGGGCCACAGGGCCGGGAGGCAACTCTGATCCCCGCCGTCAGCGTCTAAGCGCAGGTTTCCGCAGGTCCTCAGCGCTCAGAGCTGTTACCTGCAGTTCGCTAGCCTTTCCGGGGAGAGAAGGGGATCTTGCGAAACAGAATCAGTTTTCAAACAAGAGGTTGCCCAGAAGAAGGGATGGTGGGGATAAGGCTTGGGACACCTGGCGGCTAAGTAGATAGCGTGGGGTTCAGGCGCGAAATCCACGCAGGCAGCTGCAGCGCCCTCGCCTTGGGAGACCGGACGGCAGGTTCTTGCGTCCTTTCCAGCTCGGTCCTCGGAAGGGCTGGGTCAGTCCACCGCGCCTCTGCGGCCCTAAACAAGCCCCACCACCTCAGGAAAGGTAGGTCCTGGGGCAGATGCTCCCCTGGGGTAGTCCTTCCGGAGGCTGCGGCTTGGAGGCTGAATTGGAGCTGGCAAAAGCTGGGATGGCGGTGGCTGAGAAATCAGAGGCTTTGACCCCCTCCAGAATTTGTGGTGGGTCACGGGGCCACGCCTCCGCTCGGTGTGTCCCCAAGGCCCGTGGGATCTCGGCCCGGCAGCGCCGCCCTCGCTGCGCCCCGCGCTCCCCCTTGGACACACCCGTCCCGGCGAAGTGCTCGCAGGTGACCGCCGCGCCCGCTGGGAGGAGCTGCCTCCTGTCCCGGCCCCAGCTCGCCTCCGAGTACGTCTGGGGCTGGTTTCTCTCTTGTTGGAACTGCAGTGGGGGTGTGGTTCGCTTACCTCCCGCCTCCAGGCTTCGGGCAAACCGCAGCTCCCACGGCTGGGTCGCTGGAACGGCTCGTCCCTCACCCCCGCGGGCGCCTCCCTTGGCGCTGTTCCCGCCACCCCCGCTCGGCTGGGGTGCTGAGACATGGGCCTCCGGCGGGGAGCCGGACAGTCAGCCCCATGGCCGCAAGCCAGGTAAGCCAGAAGTCATAGCACGGGGTTAGGGGGAACTACGCTGCCGGAATTGAGTCAGGGTTGTTCATTTATTAAATCGATAAAGAATTAAGGGATCTAAACGATTACAGGAAACAAAACTGCAGAGCGGGCGCGAGCGCGAGCGCGAGAATCGGACAGTCAAGGAATATATTTGAAGTCTTTGTTCATAAAACACCACAAAATTGGTTCTACAAAAAGTATTTTTGAAAACTTCTATTAATAGGTTGGTATTGACATTTATATTGGAATTCTATGCCTAGAGTGCCCAGACCGTGTTTTTCACAAAATTTCCAAAAATATTTATTGATGTGGGAGCTTATCCATATCTATATCCAAATTTTTAAAGAAGTCTAAAATACTGACTATTCTCTGTCCTTAAAAATACCACAACTTTTTTTTCAGTTATATAATTAAAAAAATTATCCGGACTTCAAAGTAAGGATTCTAAAGGGGGGAGAGGGAAGTGGAGAGGAAATAGGTAATTTGCAAAGAATAACAATAACGTTTATACAAAGATGAAATTTTACTGAAGATAAAAAAATGAGGGGTATTTAATTACACATTCCCCCCCCCATCCCCTGTAGACACCATCATCCCTGCTCCCTGCTTTTAAGAAGTATGCATAAATGGTTAATTACATATAGTGAAATGATTACAATGCCTCCTTTTATCAGGCCTCTGCTTCTTTTGTCTTATATTCCGCAGCTGGGTTCTATTCCAGCTAACCTCAGATTTCCTCATACAGAGAAAACTGATAACTCCAAAGACAGACTCTGGTTTATTAACCCGAAAATTATTACTTGAAGTCACAGTGAAGAGCCCAGAAGTAAAACAGGCTCTTAAAACCCTTTTGTGTAAATGAAGGAAACACTTTCTAAATTTACTCAGAAGCTCTGATCTTTTCAAGTCAGAAACATCTTTTCAGTTAAAAGAAAAAGTATTAATATCAAGTAGTTTACAACTAGGGAGATCAGTTTACAACCCTGAAAAGTATGTTTGAAATTCCCTCCTTTTCACTCCTAGCTCCACTCTGATTCAGTCACGTCCTAGAAAACAATATTTCAAGCAGAGAATAGAAGAAAACGGAGCAGTTGGTCTCAGACTTTTGCATTTCTAATACAAGTGAAATCTGTCCTCCTCTAGAGGAAAAAAATGAGTAAAGAAACAAGATTTCCATCTTTGAATTTTGTTAAATTAGAAACCTTAAGCACACATTACAATAGTTACTATCTACTGTCACCATTGTTTCATAAAAGGAGGATTTATTTCAACATTAAAAAGAAAGGAGGGAATACCATTATAATAAAGGACCATATTTCAAAATAATAAAATTAACTTCATGGAAAACTCATTGTGTTACCACTTGTGTTTCTTACAACGGATCTGCTAACACCATCCCAAGGCATGGAAATACATTTTTAGCAACTATTGATGTGAGTCAAGAATATATTTGGCACCATAAACTTGAGACAATCTTACTTAACTGGGAGCACTACAAACATAGGTTGCTAAAATTTATATTGGCAAAGACCAATTTCATGCTTGAAATCTTATAATGAAAGAAGGAGTCAATGAAAATCTTGGGATTGTATGCATTGTGTGCATGCCTGCATTAGGCCATGTGTCTGTTCCTATTTTTTTCCAGAAATTTTGTATTCATTTTCAAATAGTGTCAAAGACAGCTGAGTAAAATAGATATAATTATTAATAATAATTTTAAAAAAAGATTTTATTGGGGAATTGGGGGAGGGGAACAGTGTTGGAGAATCAGGGAAGGGGAACAGACAAGTTGCTGTCCTTTTTTGTTTTTCAGTCTAGTTGTGGAGGACGTCACTTCACCGGCCCATGTTGGTATTATCATTGCGCTCTTCCCGGGTGAGGCAGATCGGTTGCCGGCCTCTGGACGGCCACTCATGGCGGCTCTTGGCAGCTCACACCAGCTGCTGGCCACTCACACTGGCTGTTGGCCACACACAGTAGCTTACGGCAACAAACTGCAGCAGGGGCTGGAGCCTACGCAGTCGTGGGTGACTCGTGGCATCCCAGCTCCAGGTTGAGCTGTTGTTCACTATCTTAGCTGTAGAGAGCAGTGTCACTGGCCCTCATGTGGGATCCGTACCGGCGCCCTGCTGCACAGAGCTGGGGTCCCAAGCCAGCTCTTACCCAACGCGCCACTCGGCTGGCCCAATAATAATTTTTAATTATTGCAAAATGGGGGAAAAGACAATAAGCTAGTTTAAGTTAAATTTATCATTTAACTAAAATGAACAGAATGAACACATACAAATAGTTTAGACATTTGTTAACATTACTTTTGATCAGGGACAATGCACTATTTCCCAGGTTCCCCTTTAGGAAATATAGAAAAGTTATGTTTTTATTTAATGTCATTTGAAAATAAATATTGTGACAATGCAAATCAATGCCAAAAAATTTTTTCCTTATTTTTGATCTAAATATGTTCTCCTCTACCCTTTTCCCAATTCTGATTTGAGTTTCCTCTCGAACCCTCTTCCAGTCCCTTCTGCATCCTCAGTTCTGTTGAAGATAAATTGTTTAGTGAGCAGATCAGAGAAAGACTGAACAAATAGTGTCGTATGATGGACACTGACTCATCTTACACCCATAGGATTTTACCACTGTAACTTCAGAATTCTGACTTTGTGCAAATTACATGCATCCAGAAAAATTCTAATGAAATTCTACCGCAGTCACATTTTGGACTATGGGAGGTTTGGATAAGAAGGAAAAGGTTCAGAAAGGACCCAAATGTTGCTATGTTGGTATCAAACACAACGGTGGGTGTTAGCAAAGGGCCAAGAATCTCTGAGTACCTAGACTGCAGATAGGGGTGGACATGGATAGGGATATGTGAGGGAGATGGAGGACTCTAAAAATCAGAGTGAGAATGCTGAATGCAAGACTCATCCGCTTTACAGTTCTGTCCAGGAACAGGGTCCTGCTCAGGTTTTAATCATTATTTTAGTCTCTGATCATAGCTTGGTTTTTGATGGGAAGCTTACTCTTCCTACAATCTGTTTGTATTAATGAACAATTATTGCCCAGAATATCATTCCTCACAAGGACTCGTGAAGCAAACTTCAACATTAAAGATGAGAACTGCTGTTAGAGGGTTGGGAGGTATTAACATTACTACATGTCTTAGACACATCAAACACTTCTTGAAATATAAAAATTTTATAGCACCAAATAAGTGATCCTATAATAATAGTCTTGGGAACAATTTCAAACAAATTAAATATTTAACTATCATTTATGCCACAGACTACAAACTATGCCCAGGAATTTATGCCAATCAGGATTCTGTCAAGACATTTTACATGTATATATTTTTATTCATGGTTTTTAAAAACAGCATTCTTATACACAGATACTTCTGTTTCTAATAACTTCCCCTTCCTCAGTGTTGGTGAAATGTACTGTTTGAAAAAGATATTTATTTAAAGCTTAATCACTGACTCTGAGTCTCCAAGGAAGCTTCATTTCTATTTTATAAGCCACCTACATGGAAACAGGTCATCTGACCATCAGTGAGATAAATCCAAGAAACTTTCTGGCAACTTTGATTAGGAATTAACAATGTTCTGAATATTGCAGTGAATTGTTTCATGGGTCCCTACTTGTGCATATCCCATAAGGTCTAAGATTTAGTCTCAAAGGTTTGAGAGGGGAGAGTGGGACTTGTGAGATTCAGAGCGTACCTCTCATTTTTTTGACATATCGCAAATTTACAACACTTAAAATTAAAAATTTCCCCTTATGGCTTTGTTATAATAATTATTTCTCCCTTGGTAGGCAGGTAGTCAGGTGCTGGTAGGAGAGTGGTCCAGGACTGACACAGCTCTACCAACGTCAACCTGTGGCTTCCACTTATGGAGTCAAGGCAGCTGCTCCAGCTCTTGCCTAGTTACCAAGACGGGGGATGGGGGGGGGGCACCAGGGATGTCAAGTCAATTGGTATTTCTTTGTTTCAGTTTTGTTTTTTTTAGCTTTCTATCAAATGAAAAGTTTCAAACATACAGAAAGTTATAAACAATAAAAATGCCATCTTCCACCATATACTCATCACCTAGATTCATGATTAACATTCTGCCCAATTTGTTTCAACTCATGTTTTCTGAAGTATTTTAATTACACACAACATGGCATTTCTACCTTAAATACCTTTGGGTACATTTCTGAAAAAAGGATATTTCCCTATCTACTTACCATACCATGATCACATCTGGTAAACTTAACAATAATTCTTTAATACCATGTAATTCTTAGTCCATATTTAGTTCTTCCCAAAATGTCTTGTGGAGTTGGTTAGTCAAAAACCAGAATCAGGGCTGGCCAAGTGGTGTGTTGGTTAAGAGCTGGCTTGGGATGCCAGCTCTGAGCAGCAGGGCCCCAGTTAGGATCACACATTAGGGCCAGTGACGCTGCGCCCTCTACAGCTAAGATGGTGAACAACAGCTCGACCTGGAGCTGGGCTGCTGTGAGTTGCCGGTGACGCCGTAGGCTGCAGTGAGGCTGCAGTGAGGCTGCAGTGGGCTACCGTAAAGAAACCATGAGTGGCTGGCAGCCAGCGTGAGCTGCCAAGAGCACCGTGAACAGCCGTCCAGTGGCCGGCGACCTATCTGCCTCACCCGGGAAGAGCACAATGATAATATCAACATGGGCCAGTGAAGCAACATCCTCCACAACTAGACTGAAGAACAAAAAGGACAGCAACTTGTCTGTTC